TCGTGTAAATGAGGCGTGAGCTGGAATGATCGAAAAGCACTGGACAGCTGTTTCGACCTGGTTGAGTCTCATCAGCAGTGCAAATCCATCGACCCGACTGCACGTCGAACCCGGGACCTCACAGGTAGAACGCAATGATACTACCGACTAGGCCACCGCGCAGCTGATCAGAGCGTTTCTCATTTGGAATATACACGATATCGCACAACCCATCCATGCGAGCTTGTTACGGGCAACGGACCTCGCTCATCTCAGCACTAGCATCCAGGGTATAACTTGGTTGGAAACTTTCACAACCTGATCATCATCAGTGATGAAAATTTTTTCCCCAGTAATTTGGCTTGTCTCAATAACAAAGCAAGAAACGAGACAGAGCAGGTTAGCTACAAACAAGGCTGATTAGTGACGTTGAGGTGATTCGTCACTGCATTTGAGAGCAAGTCGGTTGCAAATTGTTTATCACAGGGAACTCATATGATCTTACAAGTTATTTCGTTGATCAGTCTGTAGGTGCTTGTGTAGTTCAGCCATTTCTGCTCTACGGTGCAGAGACTTGGCTACTGCGGGAAGAAGATTAAAATACATTGTCGGTGTTCGAACATCGATGTCTGAGTTGCATTACACGGGTCTGGTGGGGTAACCGGACGAGCAATGCTGAAGTTAGGTGCAGAGTTTTAGGCAGTCGCGGTCGTCTACTGGAGCAAGTAACCGACCTCCATAGATTACGTTGGTTGGGGCATGTGTTACGCATGTCGCCAAATAGGTTGCCACTGCGAGCGATGTTTGCCGAGGCAGGTAGAGGTTGGAAAAAGGGCCAAGGGTGATCAAAAGAAGACCTGACATGAGGGTATGAAAACCCTGACAAGGAGACTGGTTCACCTAGGTCCCGTTAAGCTCCCTGGCTGGGGACCTCGGGATGATGATCACCGATGGTTAGCTGCACTGTGTGAAATGGCTGGGTGTCGCGAACAGTGGCGCTCGTGCATCCACTCATTATTCCCCTAACACCATTCTATATCAATTCTCTATCTTCCGCTTGAATTTGCTTTGAATATCCCAATTTTCATCCTACTCTTTTATCCAAGTTGGGCACCAAAACCGGCGCACGAAAATGCATGGTTACTGGTTGTAAAAACCAAAACCAAAAACCGGTTGCAGGCATTGTATTGTTTGTAGTTTCCAAATTTAATTTTAGTTCGTACGCTATTTTTTCCTTAACTGTATGCATAATAATTTCTTCAGTTTGAACTTGATTGTCCAACTGAGCTTTAGTGCATTTTAAAAACAAGCGGAAATATTTTTCGTTGCTCTTTTCCATTTAATAAGAGTTATGCGAAAATGTAGAGTATCAAGCTTGGATTAGCCCATTCGATTGTTCGAAGGCACCAGGCATTCTTGATGGTCTTGATTGAGCCATTGAGCACAAGGTGATTACCGTCGACCGTGTAGCTCAGGGGTAAGAGTTTAAAATTCCGACCCGAATGTTTTCGGTTAGAGTCCTGACCGGGACACAAAAAGTACGCACTGCTGACGAGTCCCAAACAGGACGAACCAGCTGTCCAGTGCTCTTTGTTGGTTATCACAAACATCATCGCCTACGAAAGTGTATTTCGAGGGATTTTGGGGTGGGATAAATCCCACCAGGGAAAATAATGTGACATGACGTGACATGCTAGTCAGTCTGTAATTTATACGCTGTTGGTCATTATCACCATAGTCATAAACAATGAATTGTTGTATGTAGGATAGAGAATGACCCAATCAAAACTCCACCTCATTGATGTCTCTCAGAGATGGGTGTTCAGTCACATGGATTACTGTTTTAAGTGGAACAATATTGGAAGTATATCCACTGAAATGAAGTGTCTGTGACTGATGCGGTTTTATGAAACCATGCCCAGTGAATTATGGTTCACAGATCGCTCTATCGGACGTAGGTTTGGGGGTGGTCTACAATTGGAAGAATTATGTTGTAAAAACCTCAGAACAGAGAAAAGGAAACTAGACATCCGGAAAATCACGTGCCTTGACCACACCATCTCAGCGTTATTATCTGGGTGTTAAACTGCTTTGGTTCATGAATCTGAATGATCTTTTGTCATCTGATGCAGACTGGCAATACGCTCGACAGGAGCGCTCGAGTGCATATCACAATTCTCGCGTCTACACATCCGTCAGTTGGAGTGATTACGTAATGAGATTTTCTCATATACGCTCACATTTCTAGATCGTGGAGAACTCGTGGATGTTCATACGGTTGAACACACACAGGACCTATTGTTGGAGACATTCAACCGTTACGTGAACTGGAGTCGTAAACACGATGCCGCTCACGTGACACGACCCCATTCCGGATCCACACGCCCATCTCCCGGGTCGACACAATCCCAGTTTTGGCCGCGAATTTTCATGGCGTTGACAGAGCTCCGCTCTATCACGCTATGTAATCAGGGCCTCTTTGTGGAACGCGCGTTCAGTGCAGCATGCGATCAATTACCTTGGTACTTTCACGAACTATTCCATGGCAGTCAAGTGAGCGGTGGTGCTGAGTCCGAATCAATCCCGATAGATGAGCGCCTCACCACCGGTCCGTCTGTCCGCTTGAATTGATTTATTTGAAATTAAGTAACAAGAAAAAATGTATACGGCGATTTGGGTGTTGGCCCGTGTCCCCGTCCAACGCTTACTGTCCATTCTCCACTTTTACAGCGCCCATTGACTTTGTGACCCTCACCCGTTCAACCCTATTGACACTCGTGTCCTGTAACCCAATGACACATGACTCAATAGGTTTGTCTTCAGGATATTCTAATTTCACCCCAGTTTTCATCACCTTGCTTTTATCCTCGTTTCATTATATGTGGTAGTTTTTGTTTGCTCTTTTTCCCCTTTTGTGTGTGGTTTTCTACATCCAAACCCAATCCCAATAATACATTTAATTCTTTCCCAGTCTTACAAAACAATCCCGTAATCAACAGTTTTGGTACACTGACTTGAATCTTGCATCCATGTTTATTGAACACACATATACGCATAACTTTCTCCAGAAGCTTTCCCGCCAAGTTCACTTACTTTTCTCCTTCTCACAGTTGGGTACGTTCGAATAGTTTGAGTCCCTGATTACATGTATACTTTCCTCTCGTTTCTCCTGAAGTTTTTTCTGAATTCTTTTTCTCCCCCACTCAGGGAATCACTTGTTTCTTCCCCGTTGTCATTGTCATCGGCAGGTATCGCAAGGGTACAGACAATAGACCCGTGTTTGATGTTGTCATTTTGGATTCCGTTTTGCGGATCGGTGTTATGAATTTTTTAATGCTACTCGCTCGCGTTTTCGTCCTCTGGCTCACCCCGTTTTTTTCTCATATTTCTCCCCATCATCATCATCATTAGCAAAAAAGAACAACTACAACAAACAAAATCAGCCGGAAACATCTGTCCTCTTCCATCCCACCACTTTGTCCCTCCGTTTCACTGACCCCTTATTTTCTCTTCATTTGTTTCATCATTTTTTCGCGCAAGTGTCGATTTCAGCGCACAGACACACACGCAAGCCATATGTATGTATGTATGCTATTTTGTCCGTTCACCCTTCATACTCTTCCTGATATCTAGCTGTAAAACGCATTGTGTTTTTCATCTTTCTCATCTACAAAAATTGCCGCATTTTCTCATCAACCCTCGCGTTGCACAGACGCGACCGATCTGCTAGGTCCTTCAAATTGTCCATCCAGTCCCCCACCCGGCCTCTGGCAGTCGGGGCAGAGCTCAAACTGATTCCGTATTGTTTATGAGAGTGATTCAACATCGATGGGCTATGCGTTCTTTTTTGGAATGATACATATTCAATTTGTCGTTTTTCCCGCCTTATTGGGCTGTTCACATTGGATCTTGTTTCTAGTGGTGTGCATCTGCCTGTGTAAGCTGTCCAGCCACCCCTCCCCTGCCCTCTTTCAATTCCTCAATTTTTGTCCCATTCCACCTTCCTGTTCGGAGTTGCATGTGTGCCAGGATGGAAGATGTGATGTTTTAGCATAAGAAATAAACAACTTATGCTTCATTCGGTCTAATGTTTCCCAAGGCCATTGCATATTATAGTCCGCAGTATTCTCGTTTTGACTGGTCACATTGTCTAAAAGTTCCAGTGAATTGCTACCTCCAAAAGATACTCGACTGCATGCGCTATACCTTGAGGCTTGTTAACAGTGGTTGACTGGGTCTCCGTTAGGAATTTCACAATGACTATTTTTATATGATGATAGCTCCCAAGAACCCCATTCATCGCAGTATTTGGATGGCGCAGCAGTGTTCGATAATGATGGAGTGAGGCTGATTTCGAAGTACATGCATGAAATGTCTGAACAAGTTAGGCTCTTAAACGAGACGTACTATGCGCAACATCGGGTGGCAGCAGAACGTAGAACTTAGGTCACAAACCTCATGGTTAAATGCAATTGCGACGGGGGGGGGGTTTAGAGCGTTCAGCTCGGTTTCGCAAGTGAATCAAGAAGAACTGGTCAATGAAGCGACAGTGCCCATATGAAAAGTATTCCGCGACAGACAAAAGAATTTTGTCGACCAACAAGCGCGGAATTGTTAGAACCCAAATGGAAAGCATGATTCTGCATTTCTAGGCGTTTTGCGAATCACGGAGATCAACAGAACACGAGAGCGCGGCCTAAAAACCTGAATAATCGCTGTCAGCAGACGACCGTAACAGACGGAATGCTCAGCTGAGCAGAAGCTGCATTTTACCCGACGGTGGTCTTGAAAAAGAAAAAATGCATTAATATATGATTTGCAACTAAAACCTTATGCTTCTTCCGAAAACGTGTCTTATTCGCTTGCTTTCCATTACAAAAGGTGCTCGAATAACAGTTGTAAGAAAACGGGACGCAATTTTGACGACTTTTCTTCATCCGTAGTTTTAACATTGTACGAATAAACAATGGAAGATGTGGCTCCTCCAAGTGTGACTCTGTTTATTGGCTGACTGATTAATAAAGTTACTTGATTTACACGCAAGACCTAATTTGTGCCAGAAGTCATTTCCAATTCGGTCGTCTCAGAATAACCATTCATTATTTCGCATACGCTGTGGAATTGTTTTCCCATTCCATTACGGACTGACAGCAAACTAACTGAAAACTCCTAATTTTGATTGTTTGCTCATTGTCTAAAAAAGTACCTAAAGTAAATGACCTCATGACGAACCGTTGGTTAATGCATTGTACACGGGGTTGTTTATGATGTGCAAATCTACGGTGCTCTGTTAACCCAGTAAACGTGCATCTCACCCGCTTGTCTTCTCGGAACACAGTGATTCCGGTGAGCATACGTGCGGTTTTTGCTCGTAGGCTGCTTGCGTTAGTGGCCTTAGATTTTACTGACATGAACACTTTCCAGTGGAACGAGCAAACGCTGGTTGGTATGTTTCTCGAGGGCCCGTTAAATGGAGAATTAATTTTCACCAATGCGTGTTAGTAGTGTAATACCCCATTTTATGCTTGCTGATCTCGGTTAATCGGTTCTAACTCGGCAACTGGGGCGCATCGCACAACTCAATGCATACCCGCTGCGGTATTAGGGAATTACCACCACAAGATTTTCCACTGGCAAATCGTAGGATGGAATTCTTCGAAGCGAAAATATGGACTCTGTGGGAGTGACCAACCCTCCACATGCAGGCGCTGAGCTTGGGTGACTCATTTTATCACCTGACCCGTGCTGACTGACCTACGATGCCCGAGACGCATTGACAATCGGTTAGTTCGCATGTTTC